GGGGGGGGGGGGCTTTGATTACTCAGTCTCCTCACGTCCCATTCCAGCCGTGCGCCAGGCTCACCCCCTTCTCGTCCCCAGGAAGCCTCCCACCACAATCTCATGCGCAGGCGAGCGCTGCGGGACGCCCAGACCCCAGCCAAGCTAAAACGCAACCGCTCCCTGGCTGCTAACAACCAGCTGTCCGTGGAGGAGAAGAAGCGCAAGATCATCCGCAACCTGCGGCGCTTGGAGAGCCTGGGGCTCGTGGACTCTGCCCATCAGTACCAGGAGCTCATCCACGAGCTGGCCAAGGTGTGCTGGGGGACACTGAGGCAGGAGGTCACCTCTCTAAACCCGCCTGAGATCCTGCTCTGGTGCTTCAATAAAGCTCAGACTGGGTTATATTGACCTTCTCCTACGGCTTCGTTTCCTCCAGGACATCCGCAACCAGAGACGTTACCGGCAGCACCGCAAAGGGGAGCTCCTGAAGCTGAGACAGACCCTGCAGGGCCTCAACGCCAAGACCTTGTTTTATGAGGAGCAAATTGATTATTACAATCAGTACATCAAGACCTGCCTCGACAACCTGGCAGCCAGCAACAAGTACGTTTCCTTACCAAAAAAGCCAATAATTTAAAAAAGGAAAAAAAAAACAATATTTTTTTGTCACTGCTATCTGGATGTTGTGAGTGCCGGAGATGTGGGTCTGAAGGGTCGTGCGTGGCCGGAGACCAGCTCCAAGTGTGCGGTGCCTTCTCTCCAAGGGTCGGCGGGAAGAGCAAGAAGCTGCAGTCGCTGCGCTACACGGCGGCCCGGCTGCTCGAGAAGGGGGTTCTGCTGGAGATCGAGGACTTGCCGCCCAGCCAGTACGTAGCCCCTGCTCGGGGGGATGAGCCATCGCCGCGCAGAGCTGGGGCGGGTAGAGGAAAGCAGCCCGGGAGGATGGTGCATGCGTGCCCACCGTCATCCCCCAAGGATGGAGCGAGTTGTTTCGGGTATTACCGGGAGAGCTGGGATTTGGGGGGGGTTGCGTCGTGGGTCTGGCCTCGTGTGTGCCGAGGGGGTTGTGCTGGGTGGGTGACCCGTTCCTTGGTTGCGTGAAGCCCCTTTTGGTGGTAGCGAGTGGCTCTGTCCCTTCAGGTTCAGGAACGTGATTTTTGACATCATCCCCTGCGAGGAGTCGGGCAGGTTCCAGGTGAAAGCC